CCGCACGTCCCGAACTTGCCCACAAACGTGCCGTCCGACTGGAACACCTGGAGAACAGCCGAAACAGTCAGGAGGACCATAACTCACTGGTATGACTAATAGTTGGTGAGAAAGCAACAATTATTGGAGAAGTTGAGAAACTACCAGCTGGCGGTAAGTTGTCAAAGTTCTTTTGTATTAAATCTAACAAAAGGAAGAAAAGAAAAAGAAAAAAGAAAAAAAAATAACTCCTTAAAGAAAATGAGCAATAATAAAAATTTTTTATTTAATTATAGATGATCAAAGAGTCGTTGTTGAAAACTTTGCCAAAGCAATGGATGTTGTAATGAGGCCCTTCCTTGCACCTGTAATAGAAAGGCTGGCAAAACCTAAAAAGCGTGTTGGTGTGCTGATCTCTGGAAGTGGCACAAATTTGCAGGTCAGTAACAACTTCCCCCTCAAAATTCTACTCGCATTTTTCAATGACTGTGAACAATTTCTACATTTTTAACAGGCTTTGATTGACAAAACACAAGACCCAGCAGCTAACATGGGTTGTGAAATTGTGGTGGTAATTTCAAACAAGAGAGATGTTGAGGGACTGAGAAGGGCTGAGCGTGCTGGAATACCCACAAAGGTATGCTTATTGTCTTTCAAATGTATTTTATGTTTATCTGTTTCATTCTGTACCAAACTGATTATTTTTTTTTTTCTGCCATTAGGTTGTGACTCATACTGATTTCAAATCCCGAGAAGATTTTGACATGGCATGTCATAACATTCTCCAGGAAAATAGGGTCGACATTGTGTGTCTGGCAGGATTCATGCGCATTCTCTCTGCACCCTTTGTCAGACTGTGGAGAGGCCGCATGCTTAATATTCACCCATCTCTGCTCCCCCTTTTCAAAGGAACTCATGCTCAAAAGCAAGCTCTTGATGCTGGCGTCCGAATTTCAGGCTGCACAGTCCACTTTGTAGAGGTGAGTTTTCTTTTTTCAGCAGATGCAATTCTGACTATCTCAAAGAACAAATTTGCATACTCTTATTGGATAAATTTTAACTACTGTTAGATGGAAATCTGTAACTTGCAAAATTCAGAGTTGTTCAAGATGAGCTTGAATACATTTTTCCCTAAATTTAGTGGGAAGTTTTTGAAGTGTTAAAATACTGTGCCTGTTCTTGTTCTCATTTCAATATGTACCTATTTCAGGAGGATGTTGATGCTGGAGCAATTCTTGTTCAAAAGACTGTACCAATTGAGCATGCAGATACTGAAGATATTTTGCAAGAAAGAATTAAGACTGTTGAACGTGAAGCATTTCCTGAGGCACTCAAACTGATTGCACACGGCCATGTGTACTTAAATACTTCTACTAATCGTCTTGTTTGGTCTAGATAATTTATCGTATTTAACACTTTGTTTTAAACCTGAAGAGATGATGGAGAAGCAAAATGATGCAGAAAATGGGCTTATTGCCACTGAGATTGAAGTACAAAGGCTCCTTTGATAAAGGATGTGATATTAAGTAACTGCATAAATCTGAGATCTGTCATATTTACTGTTCACCATCACATCATACGAGTAATATCAGAACGTTAACATTCTGTTTAGAGAGACAGAATTCAGTTGTAGGATATGTTCTCGGATGTTACATTCTGTGCCATTGTTAGAAACGATTCGGATGTTATAAAATTTGTATACATTATTATTATAATTTGCTCCTTTATATTTTAATATTTTATCATCTAAAAATGAATTTACACATTAAGGTTTTATAAAATGCAATGCTTTATATTAAATATATTTTTTTCTACTGTACTGATGTGTTTACTACGTATCCTCAATGGAGCTTTTCGTTTTAAAATGTTTTTCCAGGTTGATTACAAAGAAAAAGGGAGGCAGCATTGGGTTTTGCATACATTTATTTTTTTCTGATAAGGCACACTCAGCAACACTTTAGTAAAGTCAAACATGCTGTTTGAGGGAAAACAAAAATACACACAGATTTTAATTTGAAAGCACATTTGAGTCAGAGCATTTTCATATTTGAACAGTGGAGTGATTCAGCTCACACGGCCCTTAAGGGGTAAACGACCAGGCAGTTGGTAAGTGCTATGTACTGTCATATGCTCTTGTATCATAAACTGCGTGATCTGTGGGATCTGTGATTGTGAGAACATTTCCATATTTATTTTCACATACCGGCTGAGACACTTGCGTCTAGCTGGTCTGTGACAAAAAACAACAA